GTTTGATATATTCCCCATATACCTCGCATAGATAATAGATACCAGCATTTTTAAAAAAAAATGTGCCTGTACATGAGGTATATCTAGTCACGCTTAATATAAATTGTCCAAAATACTAGACTTCACATTTGCAGGTTATATAAATGTTTGATCCCAAGTCTGCACAGATCAACTACAATTGTCTCATAATAAAACATTCAAACTCTTAGTGCTACATTGTATTGGCCTTACTTTGAGTACCGGTACTGTAGTTGTATAGACCCGCTCAAGCCTAACACGATGTCATTTCAAACCTCTCCACTGACTATCTGAAGACATGCGCCGCCTCCGACATCATGTAACAAACTTGCGCTAATGAGAATAATGGTTTCATGTTATAGGGGAAAAAAACAATCAAAATGTCATTTCAGATATGAACAGTTTGGGGGGGGGGGGGGAGCTTTTTTATCAAATGTCTGCGGTTACACTACACACAGAATGAACCTACAGACGCTCACACACACAAGCACACACACAAGTGTGCGGGATATAGCAGAGAGAAAAAAAAAGCGTCAAGAATAATCCAGTCCTTACTGGCAGTAGACGCCTGGCATAAGCTGAACTCGTTGACACCTCACTAGTGAGATTATCTGGTGATCCTGGTCACGTGATTACAGTTTAAGACAGCGGTACCCAAACTTTTTCTTGATGGTGGTCATCTCTGGCACGCGTGTTACATCACGACAAAGTTCCTCCTAGCTCAGTAAAAGCGACCCTCTGCAGCTTTTCATTATGCAATGAAAGAAGATGTTTGGAGGAAATCAAAACGTTTCGGGCCGGATATGTCACTCGGGCCGAAGTTTGGGCATCACTGGACTAAACATTAACTGAGTTCTCAATAGAAGACTAAGGGACAATTTAAATAAATATATTTTTAAAAATTAAGATATTTATTTATTATATTATATATATATAATATATATACTAGCCATATTTTGCCCGCGGCACTGTCGGTAAGTGAGAGTGTTTAGTAAACAATTAAACGAAATAATAATGTTATAAGTATAGTGAATGCGTGAATATAAAAATAGTATGAATGGAGCTATCAAAATAGTTAACCGACCTAAATCCATTTTTTAAAATAAAAACATGTGCCTGTAGGTCTACATATATCTAGATCTAGAGTCTAGATACTATTATAATAGATGTAGAGTGAATTCAATGGCTCAAGAAGTTTATTAATTATTGTATGTTAGTAGATTTATTATCCCCCACATAGAGCCTCGTGTAGCCTGTCCAATCATAGTGTGTTTACATAGCGGTGTGCACGACACATGAATGGGACTATTAAAATGCATGTCAACATGGAAGCTATAGCGAAGGAATGTATGAAAAATGCTTTGAGAAACACAAAATTTGAGGGTTAATTTGATTAAGATATGAAATGAATGAACTTTATTTTGTATGTTAATGTGTTAAAGTATTAAGCACTCTTTGAATTAGATCTAGAATTAGAGTTAGATCTAGACTGTCTAGAGTCTAGACTTAGATGTCGGCTTCGATAGATGAATGGGATTATAAAGTACGTCAGGACTTCTAAATTCGCAGATATAAGGAACGAATTTATGGAAAAGTGCTTTTGAAAGACAAATTTGAAGCTTAGTTTTATTAAATAATGAAATCAATAGACTGTATTTTGTAATTTTCATGTGTCAAAGTAAAAAACTATCTGTGCAAAGTGTAGTTTTTTAACTAGATCTAGATCCTTTCGATCTTTTCTCATGTAAACATGGCCTAGATTTATAAAATACTAATACTTTCATAGAGTTTGGCAACTTTTTTTTTTTTTGAGGGTCTTAAGTTTGTTTTAGGGCTACTATACATACGTCACGGTTCCAGTTATTACCCAAGGAACATTTATGCCAAGTTTTATTAAGATTGGTCAAACGGCTTTGGTTTCTATTCGTAACATACATACATACGCCTTACTTTTCACTTTATAGTACATACGCCTTACATTCTACTTTATAGTGTATATATATATTTATATATATATATATACCCGGCCGTTCAGATAGAATGGTCCCGGTTTTGAACCTCGATCGCCCCCCAATTGGCATCGTGCGGGAGAATGACGTTGGGTCGTAATATTGTTCCTTCACGTCTTGAAGTTATAATTGATGTCATCGCTGGTAACTACTAGATCTAGTACTGGCACTACCGGTCCATTTGTACCATTAGTCAACGAGATTCACATTTATCACAATCAGATTGAAATCACTGGCCTAGAACGAGACTGTTCGTATTGGTCTTGCATAGAAACACTTTATCAAATGTAGTGTACGTTTTTTATTGTAGTTTCCAACATGGATAAGTGCTACCTAATGATATCATTAGGGAAACTCTTAAGAAAGGACATGGTCCATCAAAGATATTTACTATGACGCCACTCTTCTGTGTACACATTTTTGGTGTATGTGTTTGTTTTTTTTTGTTGTTTTTTTTTTATGGAATTGATGGATTCATATAGCAATAGTAGCTTGATATCGGGTTCATAAATTAAGTTATTTTGCATTCCGAAGACCGCAAAAGTATTTCTCTTTGGAAAACCTGAGCACAGCCTCGTGTTTTGGCTGCTTGACTGATGTATATGCTGTTGAAAAGACCCGTTAATTAATTGTTTTTTTAAGTTTCTACATATTGGGGTGTGTCTTATGTGTGCATTGATTGAATACTATTCCCCTTCTTCGTCTGCTTCCTCGTTCTCATTGTTATGTTGGAGCGTTCAGATCAATATATGAGATGACCTGCGCAGTGGTTTCCAAATCAGGGAGCTCTCCATAGAGTTTTCTTTCTATTGGGGGTGTTTTGGGGCCAGTGTCTTGTTCGGGCCTCTTGGTAAAGAGAATATTCTCCTAATAATGAGACTTATAACGTTATTGAGTAGTTACGATTGTCGGCGTCATGGCATGTCCGTGTTGTCTGACCCTCCTCTGATTACACAAGGCCCGAGAGTGGAACGGAGAGCAAACGTTTGAACTACGACATAGGATGAACACAAGTCTGCAGAGATAATGAACAGGATAAAACCAACACAGCGAGCAGGCACGACCGTGGAATGCTAGTCGCATCTGGGCCACCTCACCCCCCGTTCCCCTTTCCTGGGGACCTTTGAGAGAATGCTCGGAACTCCGATGCGAATGCCACTGGACCAGAGGAAAACCTTGAAACGAGGAGAAAGGTTTTGTCCAGTTAAAGAGACGTTCGGATAAAGGCAATGCGTGAAATTGATGTGGAAAGCTTTTTTTGGTATATATTGTAATGGTATGTCGTCAAGCTAACAGTGTTTCTGTCTTTGTTGATGTAGCATTCGGCTCACTCTTATCGTAAATAATGTGCGATGGGGGCGATAGTTTTAAATAGTCATTTTGATTTGGGGGGCACCACGTGTGCAAACTACGTTTATAAACGGTTGCTGCTTTTAAAACGAAAGATTCCCACCCAAGTGTTTGTTATGTCACTTAGGTGGACTCGGCAAGGGAAGCTAGCGCGAGAGATGAAACATTCTTGTGGTGCAGTGTCCACATTCCACCAGGGCATTCCTCAGCTGCAGGAGATGAGTGCCGAGAAGGGAAACTCGAGGTACAGGGACGCCAAAACTTCGCTTTGTTCCTCTTCGGGTCGCTCGCACGCACAAAGGGAAAGACGTTGCGCTCGTGGGTCGGGCTGTTGTTATTGGGGTGAAAGATCTCGGGACCTGTCTTTCGCTTTTGTATTTACGATCGTTTCGATCTCCCCCCCCCCCCCCCTTTTCCCACTATTCTTTTTCCCCCCTTTTAGTACTAATGTAGTATCCAACTTGTCTAAAGGTTTCTCGGGTTTGAGCAAATGTCACTTAGGGCTTGGTGGCAACTCAAAGCGTAAGGGCTGGGCAAGGTGGCTGTTGAGAGGGATTTAAAGATTAAATTTAACTCATTGCCTGCCAGATCACTTTTCTGTTATTACTGAAACTTCAGATCATAACTGTGAACCTTTTGACTTGTTCGCTTGTATTCTATCAATAGCATTCTGACATTGGAAGAAAACTTGCAGAACAAAAGGTGCTAGTACTTTAAAGATAAGCTTTCAAATATTTCAACTACACTAGAAATATTTCAACTGATTCTCTATGATAAGGTAGTACATTAGAAACTACTAGAAAGCTGTAAAAGTGTGTAACTCTCTTCTATACCAACATTAGTGACAGACGTGTTTTGTATCAACGGTAAATGTGGAGTGCTTGTGAACTGTGTAACTGTTGATAAAACAACTTGACCCAAAGTATGTCATTGCTGTCTCCCACACAAAAAGTAAAAAGTAACTTTCTCTTTTCCTCTGTCAGACATTGTGAATCAAGACCTGAAGTCCACCCTTAGAGTCCTCTACAACATCTTTACAAAGTACAAGTCAAGTCATGGCAGCCAAGCTGTGCCAGTACAGTAGAGACGGGCCTCGCTGGTACAGTTAGGACATTCTAGGCTGTTACAGTAAAGGGAGTCTTTAGTCCAAACATCATGGAACAGACATCTGACGATTTTCATAAGGGCATGAGAGACACATTAAGACATGACAATAAATGAAGCTTAAGATTTAATAGTATTATATTCAATAGTCAGAAACGACAACAATTGGTATTCTATTGTATAGGTTCAGTTGTAAATAGTAGGAGTCACACTGACAAGATTAATTACATTTGATGTACCATTTCACCAACTTCATTATTCTAATGTTATTTGTTGAAGTTAAGTTACTGTGCTCTAACAGGCAATAAGTCAATTAGTAGTCTAGTGTACACAATTATATTAAATAAGTATTGTTGTTATTGTAAGCTTAAGAAATTTCCTAATAATAGATATGTATAATTTCTTAGAAATTTAGTATTTAACAATTTTATAAGCATCAGTGTTTTTTGCTTAACATGAAGCTAAGAACCACAAATGTTTTAGTCAAACATGTATGTGTAACTGCGAATGTTTTATACATTTTTGGGGGGGGGGGGGGGGGTTCCCAAATGGATAAAAAAAACAACTTTTAAGTGTATGGTGAATGAAAGAGGATAAAAATTACTTAAAAGTCTATTCAAGAGTTGCTTGAGGGAAAAATAAAAAAAAAGAAACACTGACCTGGCTTGATCAATGTTCCTTGAGTTGCATGCAAAGTTTTTGTTTTGTTTATATTTATAGGTAAGTGTGTAAATAATTCTATTTAGTGGCTACTAAAACTAGGAGGCTAGAGGTGCACTAGATCAACTGGTTATGCCAGTAAAGGTCCTCATCCTACAGAGTGCACACCAATTGATTTGTGGCTTTGAGTTTCACAAGTTTGGCTTCCTTCCGTCTTCCTAGTCCACTGTATACATTCTATATCAACATTGCCTTCATTGACTAAAGGTGCTATTTATGTTATTCATTATGTATTGCTTCTCTGTGATTGGAATCTGTGTGCTTAACACTCATTTAGACTTGTTCTGTCATTTGTTTTGTATATATTTATAAATAATGGTTCATTTCATTTCTAATTCTTGACCAGTGATATTTAAACTAGGCTGCACATACCCTTGGTTAAGTGCCTCGCTGACCAGACAAGAGAACCCAAATGAATTTTTTTTAATGATAAAGTTTTAAGACTAGGTCTTAGCTTAGCCTAGAGCTAACTACTTGGGATACAGGCAACCCTTCTTCTTTTTCTAGCTCCTTCTCTAGCCTTAACATGATACTTCGGTCAGAATGTTTAATTAATTAGTGTTAACTAATGCAAGGTTTAGCATATTGTAGGCTACTTTATTGTTAGAAGTCTGTAAGTAGAAATGTGTTACCTGCTGTTATATATCATGTAACTTAATGGATTGCCGCTGTGTGTATACATTGTAGACATTATTTCTTTAATAAAATTATATTCTTTCATTGGCACCAGCTTTAGCTCTTCATTATATATTGTGTGTATTCTGATGTTTATCTGAACAATGAAGTCTTGGTCTCCTCCACTTGTGAAGTTGTTAGAGTTGACTTTTATTCAGTAGGTGGATGCTTCCAGAGATCTAATGTAATCCTTCAGAAATATCAACATAATGTAGTCCTTCAGAAATCTCTACATTATGTAATGTTAACATACAACGCGGGATAGCAGTAGGATAACCCGGGACCATCGAGACGACCGAACGACAGTCTAGCGTCCATACCACACGACCTGTTTTTTACAAAGTTGGGCAGTGGTGCCAGGGGCGGACTGGGTGTCGAAATGGGCCCGGGCATTTCTTTACAATTCGGCCCATAACTTTATGTTGCTTTTTAATCACTAAATGTGTAGGCCCTAAAAGGATGAAGCCTACTAGTAGCACTATCTACGGATGTAGGCTATCACAATATTAGGAAAATGTGTGACATTAAAATAGTATGACACTGTAGAGTCTGTGAATGTTTTATTTTTTAACACAACGTTCAGAGGGCCCTTTTTATAAAATGTTTATTAGGCTTTAACAATTTGATGCCTGCTATAATGGCATCCCTCCGGCCCTTTCGTGGCCCTACCAGCCCATTCGGGTACCGACCCACTGGTCATTTGCCCGAACGCCCCTGATTGGTGCGCCTTGCAGAAGTAAATATTAAAATCATTTACGTCTCGCGCTGTAAAAAAAGATGATGCGTTAAAAGCAGTGAATATGTAAATGCAGTAATGCACTAAGAAATGTACCTCAATATTATCTATTAATTTAAATAAACAGTTGGGAGACGAAAGATCTTTCCTACTTTCAACTTTTCCACATATTGGTATAAACGAATTTCCCTAACACTGCTTCGTTGGTGTTACTTTTTTTTTTGGTTTCTTTATTTTTGTTTTACGAATTATAAATTGACACTGGTACTTAAGATCTGCATGTATACTTTATTTCTGTTAAAATAAACACCCGTAGGCCTATCTGTGTTGTAATTTTGTGAGAATGATACTTTTGTGTGTGAGAGAAAGAAAAAGATTTTGTTGTCTTATAAGACTTGGGCATCCAACATTAAATTATTTGAAAAAAATGAAAACAACAATAATAATAAACTAATATAAACTAGTATTTAGGGAAAGGTCATCCAAACCAAAAATAATTGTAATAAAATATTTGCCGGCTTTTAGTTTTTATTACTCATAATTATAAGATGCACATCATGCACGCGTATAAACTACAATAAAACGAAGGTGATCGATCCATCATCCATATATTTAGGGAGTGTGCACAAAAACCATTTGTTCCTTAGGACCGGGGTCGGCAACCTGCGGCTCGCGAGCCACATGCGGCTCTTTGGGTGTGAAGCTGCGGCTCTTTAGTTCCATACGCAAATATTATTTATTTTATCAAAACATTTTTTAAATAGTTCTGAATCTGTTGTCAGTTTGTCAGAAGCTCTCTAATGACGCCATCGTCGGATGTTTCTATGTAGCTTTCAAGTCGCTTTCGACGCTAGATGAATTGGCGACTTCACCACGTGCTTTGGCTGTGAGTAAAGTTTGTAGTTTCAAGTAAATGAGTTAGAAGCAATTATCTTCTCAAAGTTAGAAGCAATCTACAAGTAATGCTAATCTTGCAGGCTTTGCGGTACCACACGAAATTGCACAAAAAGGCAAATCATTTACAGATGGTGAGTATGTCAAAGACTGCTTTCTACGTGCATCTGAAGAACTGTTTCGTGATTTCAAAAACAAACCAGAAATCTTGATAAAAAATCAAAGATTCGCCACTATCTACGAAAACACAGCAAGGTAGAATGTTTAAAATGTCTTATATTTACAGTTGTAAGATATTCAACTTTCTTTTGTCCTATCACTTGCTAATCTTGCTACATAAGAACACGGCACAAGTTGCCCATTTTGTTAGGTATATGTCTTCCCAAGGTCCAAAAGAAGAACTTCAAGGATTGCAACCTCTCACGTAACGCAACAAAAAATGGACAGCTTTAAAAGCGATGCCGCAAGTTGACTCGACGCATGGAATACTCTTCCAGATTGCTACCAAGAGGAAAGAAGTTAGCATTTGGAGTGCTGACTATCTTCGGATCGACATATTCGTGCGAGAAAGCGTTTTATTTTCATGAATATAATTAAAAGCAAAGTAAGTAGCCAACTAACAATTGAAAATTTAGACTTGTTTTTGAAACTAAAAACAACTTTTGAGCCAAATGTATCCAAACTTTCTAAAACCATGCAAAGCCAACGCTCCCATTGAAGTTGATTGCTCAATTGTTTGTTATTGAACTTCAAGTTAGTGTTGTAAGCAAATGTTTAACTGTTTTAGTTGTTACCGAAATAAAAAATAATAATTATGCAATTATGCTATATATATATATTATCTAATTTGTTGTGAAAAAACACTTCTTATAAATAATAAACATTTTTTTTCATTAAAAAAAATGTGCGATTACTATTTATTGTTGCTAGAAAAACTTTGTGGCTCTTTAAAAATTTAAAATTTTGTAAATTGTAATTTTGGCTCTTTCGACTCAAAAGGTTGCCGACCCCTGCCTTGGGACGAAGATCTAAGACTAAGCTTAGGGCATCATACTTTGTTTATTGTGGTCCAAAACATACCTTTCTAATAGTTTCGATGATCTAACTTGACTAAACATAATAACTTCAGTTCTATGCAACCAACCACTCACCTTCTTGTGGGGGACCTGTCAACTGTTTGGGCTTTATAGTTGAGTGGGCAACTTGTGCTCATGTGAGCCTTTGTGGGAGGGCATTGTCAAATCAAAGAACCTGTTGGAAACGCCGCTCCCCCATTTTTTTTTCCCTCTCTGTTCGGCGGGAGGGAAAAACAACAGCCAAAAACATGCGAGGAAAAAATACTATTAATAACAGAAGGCTTTCTGGAAATGAAGTTAATTAAAGGAAAACACAATTATTTCTATTTAACACACAGCACGAGTCCACGATAAGTTAATCAAAATAAGCAGAATCATTTAATTAAAATTTGTTTACAAACTACCGCAACTTTCTCATCACGCGTCCGGCTGACCCTTGCGCACATGAGATGCGCAGAACACGGCTACGTTGTCTGGATTCTTTGTGTCATACCTAGCATACCAGCAACGAAGTTCCAGAAGTCTTTTATTTTATACAATACATCGTCAAACTACCAAAAACACATTCTGGAGGTCTCCAAAGGTTGGTACTAAACTTTATATAACTTCCTTTAACTTAAAATTCGACTTAAATTCGCAAATATAACCATGGGAATGACAGCTATGCCTTCGCGCGGTTCGAATCTCTGAAATGCTTGTCATTCTTGAAGATCGAACTTCCGGATATCACACCTTGCTTTTCATAGGTGCTATGGACTGTTGAATATGCTCCTAGGGATGCTACTAACTTAATAACTAATTAAATATTTGAGCGAGGATGCGTGAAATCATATTGAAATCAAAGTGTGACCTAGTTAGACTAAAAACGAAGATGCTGAATATGGCTGCTGTGCACAGGTTAGTTTTCCGGTTTACAATAGTCTCAATAGAGTTCAAACGAACAGGACCACTCAAGACTCACTCTCAACTCTCACTGTCACTCAGACTCTTGAGTCAGTGATTGAGTTAATCGTTCACATTGTCACATTATGATTATGATGATTAGATCATCTATGATTATCATTATAGATTCTAAATGCTGAATAATGTGAATTCTTTTTCTCACTAACTTCACTAAGTCACTTCTTGAGACTGATTTTTTTGAGAGTGATATATTCATATATTGTAGTAATGTAGTCGTAGATCTAAAATCTTATGACATGTCATGATGAATAATTATGACAGAAGACAAGTCAGAATATCTGAATATGAATTATGATCATCTTTCTCAACCTAGAGATCTAGATCTAGTAGAGGCACTAGACCCCTAGAGGTCTATATAGAAATATAGACTAGAGCTAGAATCTAGATGTAGGTCTACAGAGTAGTCATATAATGATAATAAATTGTTTTTAAAAAAATGTTTGTAAAATGTTCTACATGTTTCGGATGTTCCTTCAGAGTTGAAGATAGTTTACTACCTAGTCCAAACCTCCCGCAGGACGACAGGGGATGGGAGCGGGCAGGATTTGAACCCTCGACCATCAATAAATCCAAACGACAGTCCAGCGCGCAAACCGCACGACCAGGCAGGCATCCAATTAATAGATCTAGATCTCAATATATAATTATATAAATATATAGAGAGATCTAGATCCGTTAATTATTAATTTATTATCATTATATGACTACTCTGTATATTATTATCTATATCTAGAGAAAGAGAGAGAGAGAGATTCCTTAGATGATTCATATAATAATAAATCTAGACCTATAATTTATAAACCTATAATAAATAGATTCTGGATCTATATGTCTATATAATATATACTATATATTTATTTTAGTTATTATACAAGTTTCTAAACTATAATCTGAATCTGTCTCTAGATCTATATTAATATTAATAATAAAGTTTATAAATTATATCTAGTTCTTATATAGTTCTAGATTATTAAGATTCTAATCTAAATCCAGATCTAGACTATCAGACTGTGCTTTTCGTTTCCATGCCCAAACTCTTAGCTGTAATAAACATCATCTAGGTTCGGGATCTAGTCCTAATTTGGTTTTTAAAATCTGATAATGATTGTAAATTATAACTAGACCTCTCTTTTCAATAGGGATTTATTTATATACATGTAGTTCTGTTGTCGTATAGCTCTACATTTTTTATGTCTAGATCTAGTTATTAGAATAAAATTCTAATCACTATAATTGGATCTAGATCTATACAATATGATCATTAATATTATAACAATGTAGACTAATTCTTAAGTCTAGACCTAGATTCTAAGTCAATATGTTGAGTTTATACTGACTAGATGGCCTAGATCTAAGATAAATTTAGTCATTCAGACTAGTGTA